GCGACAGACTTGTTTCTTTTTCCGTCACAGAATACACGCGACGCGCTGTTGCTTGGGTTGATGAGGTAAGTCACCGTTTTCTTCGCTAAAAGATTTTTGCTGACTACTTTTTGGTAATCCTTCTTTGGCAGATCGCACACAAAACACAAACTTTTTTCCGGGGTACCTGATTATCTCGTTCACTACAGTGTCATGATAGAATGTTGCTGTGATTGTGACAGCCGCCTAGAAAAGGATGGCAAATGATCTTATCTCGGTTTTAAGTTTCTCATCAGTAAAGTCTACAAAAACTGGTCAATTATTTCTAATATTTTTCATGTTTTTTTTATATTGCCATTTATTGTGAATTGTTTTGAGATTTTATCTTTCAATTTTTTTTTTTTTTTTTTTTTTCCATTGAAAGAAAAAATCTATCCTCAAAGGAAGAATAATTCCTCTTTTTGAAGTTGTGCGATATCCCAACTTGTGCACTGCGAAGTTTAAAGAGATTAACAAGATTAAGAACCTGGAAAGAAGAGCTCTTTGGATCAAAAAGTCAGCATATACAATCTTAGAGTCAAACAGAACAAACCCCAGATAAAGGCAGAATCTGTTTCTCTTTCTCTCCGTCGAGTGATAGGTCATCATGACTTGTTATCAGGTCTACATATCATTGTTACTATTATTAGTATTATCCTAATATATTTGTGCCTGTATTTCCCTTCGTTAGTTCATGTGACCTTATGCTCGGGCAATAGCTTATAAATAATGGATTATTCTGTTTTGATGGCATGGAAAGCAGAGAAAAGGGCACGACACGGTTTCAGTGTAAAAAAAAAAAAAAATGTATGAAAGAAGTAGAGAGATAGAATCAGATTAAGCTGATAAGAACAGATACTATACCATAAACCTGAGAAGCAATAAAAGTGCCATTTTTACATACAGTTTTAAACAAAAGAAAACCAACTAAGGCAATCACCAAAAATCCAGTTACCATAAAATAACAGCATCTACTGAATTATTTTAAATATTCATAAGACAGGCTAGATTTGGCTAGTTATTATTATTATTATTATTATTATTATTATTATTATTCTTTGCTACTACTCAACACTGTATAAGTGGAACCTGCTAACCACAAGGCACAGCCATGGTTTTTAGCTGTGTTTGGACCAGAAAGCAGATATCAGTCACATATATAAAAGCTGTGTATGCTGGACAAGTATCTGTTGCAGGCATCACTTCTTTTGTTGCAACATATGAATGAATTTTGGTAAATATTTAACGGCTCCTGGTACATTTATCCCACAAAAAATATTTAGTGGACGCATGTGAGTCCGGGTAAAAAATGAGTATTTATGAAACCTGAATTTTAAAACACAGCAAAAGACATAAAATCTTAAGAAAAAACTGTTAAGAATGTGTTTGTTTGTGCATGTGATATAACTGAGTGTGATACACACATGAGTTCAGTCATCAGTTGATCAGCAGGGACACTTTTATCTAAGTGTTGCTATATCTTGGAACAAGAGGAAGGAAAATCATGGATGTTCTGGTTGTATAATAGATAATGGCTCACAATTGTTAGTTGAAGAGCTGAGTTGCAGTCCCAGTTGGATTCATTATATTCACTTATTGTGCAAATACCCTTAGGAAATGTATGAATCAACCTCTCCCCACCATCTATGGCTTAATTAGTAAGATTAATCACTAAATCATTATTATCTTCAAAAAAAAAAATTCTTACAGTCTAAAAATATTTTTTGGATTTAAATAACCTGCAATAATTTGATAAGTTAGAAAATTAAAAAAAAAATAAAACCCCAAGTCCAACACATAATTGTGGTGTTACAACCACATGCCAGGAAAGCATGTTCTCTTCTCAGGCTCTACCCCATATTATTAACTGTTCAAACTGAGTTTTATTGATTGGTTACTAAGTGTTATATGACTGACCAAGCACAGTTCAGTACATACTAATTAGGGAAGAGGAATGACATTTGAATTACCATTTATTCTTGGATTAAAATCCCTTAATGGAATTTTTTAAATCCCTGAAGACTGGAACAGGCATCTAGTGCACTTCTTTACAAATGAAGGCAAAAAAAATCTCTTTGATGGAATTATGAAGTTGCCTGAAAGAGTACATCTCAATCTTTTCCTTCATTATGTAAAAACACTCATCAAAAAGCCATTTTCACCAAATGTAGGTAAAACATTGCACAAATAATAAATGAAGAAATGTGTAAACAAAATGAAGTAGACTATATGTTTGAAAAATTTTTTGCTCTAAAATTTTAATTATAATTTAAAATTTTTTATATTAATTATAAACTCTATTGAATCAGTGCCATGTAAGCTCAGTTTAGAGGGAAAAGTCCAACTTCTGTAAAGACGACCCACAACTCTGTTCTTCATGGGAATTGCCAGGAAAATTTTACATTGTATTCTGTGTTTTCTAATTACCCAAAGACAAACAATTCTATTTATTTTTGAGTAGCACTGTATAAGGGTAATTTGACTTGGAATATGACTGAAAACACACTAACCAAACCATCATACTCAAAGCAACAAAAATGAGGATCATCCTCATCAGTCCCATGACTGGGTGTGCTTATAGGCTTGACCAGTTCCCTTCACATATCTGGGTTGGAAGCCAGAGAGGTATTCATTCATTCATAGCAGGTCTTAGGCGAGTGAACCTGGTGAAGGCCATCTCTCTGCAAGCTGAAACACAACTTCAGGCTTGTGGTCATTGATTCCAATGGAGGAACTCTCTACCATGACTGTTAACTTCAGTCTAGGATGCCCTTCACCTAGCAATGCCATGTGATCACTGCACTGGTTGCATCCATAGCTATAGAGCTCAGTCTACCCCCATTGTGCTAGATGACCGTTGATCCAACAAGGTTTGTCCACCTGTCATTTTTAATCCTGCTGAATGTCTAGTCACTCTCCTTACCTGAAAATCAAGGTGGAAGTTGCCAGTAACCCAACCATGCAGCTTGTAGTACTGGGTTACATCCTCCCAGTAGCTTGTGTAGAGTGACTAGACAGAAACAAAAACAAGGACTCTCCTCCTTATTTCATTTCATTAGGTATGAACTGAATTATGTATTATTCAAGCAACTGAAGTCTGTTAGTCTTGGAGTGGGCCATCCTTCTTTGAGTCTCCCTACAGAATCACAAACAAAAAACAGTACCAGAAAACAGAAACCACTTCATTTGAAGACTTTCAACAGCAGCAACAACTAAGAGAAAATAATGGCATAATCAAGATGTTCCACACTACTTTGAGCAAAAGGTTGGAAAGGAAATCTCCATCAATATTGGAAAGAGTGATAACAGTGAACTTGAGATAACTGTTTTCCTGGTAAACTGTTTTGGGATAACTATTTTCCTGGAAAACAGTTATCTCAATTTCAGTTATTGCTCTTTCCAGTATTGGAGTTTTTTTTTTTTTTTTATAAATTTCAACTGATAGTAACACTAAATTTATGTCAAATGTTTCCATATAAAGAAACAACTAATATTACATTACTGTTATTCAGACCACCATGGAATTTTCCAGAGCATCTCGGTGTAATAAAAACCAGCAACTGTGTAAACACTGTAAAATAATATTCATGTAATAATGAATCATTTTCATGAAAATTAGCAGAAAAAGATGATAAACCTACCATGTTCTTTGTTTTGCTTTCATCTTCATTCCAAATGAAAAGATAAGATTTCCTATTATTTGTTTTGTTTTGTTTTTTTTTTTTACCTAATTATCTCTTGGCCATCTCTGGAAGTCTGTCGTCAGCCACCTCTACCCTGATTCATGAAATACCCACCCAGACACATTTGTATCCTTTTCACTTTTATTTGTTTGTCTTTGTTTTTATTGCAAAAATTTCCTTTCTTTAATGTATGACAAAAAAAACTTGTATCTTCAACAAGCTTGCACTCTGGAAACCAGAACAGCTATGGCGTGAGTGTCGCATTTGAAGTATCTTTTGTAGTTTCTGCAGAAAACGAATGCGCTTGGATTATTTCTTCCCATGAGAGACATGAAACGGTTTCAGTTTTACTAACAGGTTCAAGTATGGTTCCACTCTGTGTGGCAAAATCCTGCCAGCATTTATGCACACCCTAAATTAGAAAGAAAAAAAAGCTTGACTGACTTGAACAAACTATAAGACGAGAAAAATGAAAACTATATCCATAACATCAATTAATTGATTTTTGTATCATTTGTCAACCCTTTGCACATTATTTAAAGCCAGAAAATATTTTTACATTGCAAGAGTATATTGTTTTTGTTTTTTTTGGGGTGGGGGGTATAATAATGGTATTTGTGTGTAACCGAATATAATAAACCCAACAGGAATTGGAACTCAGCTCTCTGATTAACAATTACAAGCTGTTAACCATTATACCACCCGCACAAGAATAGAAAATCTTTCTAAAAGCAAAATGTATCACAGCTTATTGTATTTGATGAATGTAACTCCTTCCACCCAACCCATTTTTATTTAATATTCCAGTATTATGGAGTTAAACTAGTTAAAATTACTAGTTGTCTATGGTGTCACAACTCGGTATCTACACTGATGGCACAAGACAAAGTCTGACAGGTTCAATAAAACAATTGACAGCTGATCTCAAAAATGACCTTCAATCCGTTGTTAACTGGGGTAAGGATTGACTTGCTAATTTAAATGCCTCTAAAAGAAAACTACTCTCTATTAATCACATTACCTTCTCTCAACATGGCTGATGCTAACCTCCAGGAGAGCAACTTACTGCAACTTCTTGGTCTCACATTTTCCAGTGGCATGAAACAGAGAAATTATATTGAATCAATTGCTACGTCTACTGCTAGAAGAGTTGGTTCACTATGTTGTACTAGACAATTTTTCTAGCCAGAATCTATTTTAAACCGTTACAAGTTTACCGTTTGTCTGCATAGTGAACATTGCTGCCACATATGGTCTGTTGCTTCTGCTCTATATCTAAAGAGCTTACTATCACATCACATTGAAACACGAGTTCCTGTCCGATCACTGAAGTTAAGCAACATCAAGCCTGGTCAGTACCTAGATAGGTGACAGCTTTGGAATACCAGATCATCACCAGGCATCAGCCGCAGTTGCAACCAACCAGCATCATCTACAGCTACTGCTCACCGTTTCTGCTCCAATCAACCAACCATCTTCAACAGGCCTACAGCTCCAGCCAACAGCAACAATATGGGATAAACTGTCTTTTTCACTCTTCAGTTACCTTTTCAGGACAACACTCTTCAGTGACTACAAAACTGTCCTTTTCAGGACACCAGTTTTTAATGACTACCAAAAACTGTCCTTTTCAGGACACCACTTTTTAATGACTACCAAAAACTGTCCTTTTCAGGACACCAGTTTTTAATGACTACCAAAAACTGTCCTTTTCAGGACACCACTTTTTAATGACTACCAAAAACTGTCCTTTTCAGGACACCACTTTTTAATGACTACCAAAAACTGTCCTTTTCAGGACACCACTTTTTAATGACACTGTCCTTTTTTTTAATGACTACCAAAACTGTCCTTTTCAGGACACCACTTTTTAATGACTACCAAAAACTGTCCTTTTCAGGACACCACTTTTTAATGACTACCAAAAACTGTCCTTTTCAGGACACCACTTTTTAATGACTACCAAAAACTGTCCTTTTCTGGATGATGCTCTTCTCACCCTATACATGAGCATGCCATGAGATTTTTTGCCTACTGCACTCTAACCCTATTTTTGTTGATGTATTTTAATGAAAATAAACTTGGTAGTATATTTTTAATAAAGTCTACATTTTATTTGTTGTTGTCTTCTGTCATTCAATATCTCGTAGACTATTATCTTTCCCAAGAATGCATAGTAATTCAAAAGTATAGAAAAAAGAACATGTGGAGAGTCATGATCACTTATGTTCTGAAGGGACATGGCATTAGATTAGTTAACTATTTTCTTTTCTCCATTTTTGCTAACTTAGTAATAAACCCATTTTCTTAATGTCTATATTTTTTATGAAATATACTGCATATGCATCTAAATAGTTTCTTTGTTTTTGGCTCCAGCCTTAAGGTTAGTACCTGACATGTTTGATATATTCAAGGACCATTATTTATGATTTTTTTTTTCCTAAAATATTTTTAAACTCCATTGATGAATATATTTATAAAATTTGGGATCACTGATCAATTTCGACCAGTACATTTTCTCTGCTTTCTGATCAGTTATAAACAATAATTGATTCCTTGGGTTAGGTGTAGTTGTTAATTAACTATTGTATATACTCGTGGATAGGTTGCACCCCTATTTTATGGCTTAATAATTGATGATTTACTGTTGATTCACAGATTGGTCGCACTATAATCTGGGGAGTTACACAACCTCTTTTAAACATAAGAATTATCAGATATCTACATTTACTTCTACCTTTGTTTTAAAACTTACAATTATTAATACACTTTTGCAGTTAAAATACATTTTGTCAATTATCATGTAAACAAAAGGAAGTAACTATTGTATCGGTATTTTTATATTTACCGTATATTATTTTTATATCAAGTCAACTTGACAAAAAAAAAAATAACTACAGAAGAAAATGTTACGGTACATTTAGAAAAAAGTGTTTTTCTATTTATATATCAAGTTACAGTTTTAAAATTCATTGAGAACTGAATCCCAAGAATTCTTCTTCACCATCATGACTGTCAAACGTCATTCTCATTTGGTCATCAGTTAATAGGTTTTCATCATTGTCCATTTCGTAGTAGTCGTTCAACTCATCATCACTCGTGATATAATCATCTTCATCTTTGTTGGAAGCAACCATATCCTTATCCTTGGCATTTTCTGTACTTAAAGCCACTAAATACTCGTATAATATATCATCTTCAGTTTCATCCATGGCATTTGAGATGCCATGTTTTTTGAAGGACAATAATCATTTCTTCATGGATTTCTCATAAATCCTGATGATGAGGTAGTGTTGTTTTACATTTATGTTGAGTAGATAGGTTGCACTTTTTTCACAAAATATTAGGGGTGCGACCTATCTGAGTATATATGGTAATTATTGTATATCACACTGAAAAATTCCGACATTTTAGTACAGACATAGTCCAAGATTCTACAAATTACATCAATAAATTACCTAAGAGACACATGACTTAGTTGATTAAAGCTTTAGTTCCTTGGCAGTTGTAAGTTCAATTTATGGGCCTGATAATGCTTAAGAGTCGCTTACTCTGTTTCGGTGGTAGTTAAAGAAATAGTGATAAATAGGTGAATAAAATTGATGAGTATTCTTTGATATGAATTATCTCCCTTCAATATGGAAAGTGGAATGAGATCAATCTACTCCTGTGGATTGAATAAAAGATGCTGTTAAAAATTCTGTGGAGTTTACCGAATATGATGACAGGCACCTGAAGAGGACCAGGGACTACAAAAGCTGAAAAATGTTGACTATAACAACCAAACTGTACATACTGATCTGAATAATAAGGTATATAATAAATGAAAACATATATCATGATACAACATATGATAAAAACATTACTAATATTTATGCAAAATATTAACTTCAGAGGCATGCCAAGAGAGAAAAGAGTGCTACTCTTAAGGCCAAATATCTCAAATGATTAATAATTTAAAAATATGATGATATAGTGTCAGCTACTGTTTATGTAACCACAGGAAGGATTTATTAAACAAACACAACACTTTCAGTCACTTTATACTGTGACAAAGCAAATATTCCAACTAGATATCTATAGAAGTAATTACATTTGGTGTGTGAACGTTTTTCTGTACCATATCTTTTCAGGTCATGGGTGATCATGGCTTTCCACAATTTTCTGTCTTTTGTTGTTCTATGTAATTTGATTAATTTGTTTTTAATCTTTACCATCACTTTATGTATTACTTATTTATTTTAACAGCATGTTAACTCATCAGGGGTTACTTTATGCCAAGAGGTTGGTAGCAAGGTTCATGTAAATTTTGTGATAGTAATCAAATTTAGAGTCTGTCTATATTTCTGAGATGAGGTATTATGTACAGAATTTACATTAGTCGGACTATTGTCCTCATCTTTGTCGCCATATTTGTCACAATGTTTCGGCCATTGTATGCTCCGGCCTTCTTCAGGTGGTTGGAATTTCGAACTGAACCCTTTATTTCGATCACTGGAGTAGACTGTTCTAGTTCCACGTGCCATGTTTGATGGATGTCAGTTATCAGTTATCTCCTGCTAATTTTCCCTCTGCAAGTTCTCCACTGCCTTAACCCGGTATTGAACTCGGTCACTGGATCTAACCAACGCCTTTATCCACTCTGCCATGTGTCCTGAGCCGACCAAGTATAGAAATAAATACAATATGGGAACCAGTAATAAGGAGTGCCAGAGAAAAGCAATGATAACAAAGTTGCAATATGAACTCTGGTAAAAAATGGTTGCTGAAAACATTAGGTTTATAATACCCCGAAATTCATACCCAGATGTCCTCAAGGACACATGGCACAGTGGATAAAGGCGTTGGTTAGATCCAGTGACAGACTCAAAGAGTGAGTTTAATACCTGACATCCACAAACATCAAACATGGCACGTGGAACTAGAACAGTCTACCCCAGTGATCGAAATAAAGGGTTCAGTTCGAAATTCCAACCACCTGAAGAAGGCCGGAGTGTACAACGGCCAAAATGTTGTGATAAATATGGCGACAAAGATGAGGACAATAGTCCAACTAATGTAAATACTGTAATCAAATTTAGTTACATTTTTGGTGTAGCTTTATTTCCCAAGAATTTTGCTTGGTTCTTAAGTCATGTCAAATTTTCTGTGATTGTTTTATACTGAATGGTTCAGGGATCATGTTGAGGGATTCTTTTGTATGGTAGTGATAATGTTTATAGTTATTTTATTTATTTTTTTTATAATTTTAGGAGTTAGTCTGATCTATACTTGATCCTAACAGAATATGATAAAGAACAAATATGAAATGCTTATCAATCTAACATGTTTCACTTTTATTAAAGTTGTGTCAGAGATTGAGATATGGAAAAAAAGAAATTTTGGTATTTTCACTTTTGTGTTGTTTGATTTTCATTGGTCAGTCATATATCAAGTGCATTCAACTCTTTTAATTTTATATCATTTTATTTCTTTCAAGGAGGACAAAATGCTGCCTATATTGAATTTTTCAAATAGATCTTTCATATAATTTGTGTTACTACTAAGCATGCCTGCACCTATTGACTCTTTCACACAAACACGTATAACATTTCACCATTCTCACATATGCACACAAATACAATTTATATCCTATTCCAGAACTTTATTAACCAAAATAAAATATCATTACTCATTTAAATCCACAACCAACTTCTTGTATTTTTGCCATTATATTAATGTTTATTTGTTAATACTATATTGTCTCTTTTTTACTGGATTTTATTCTTATAATGAAAATTGTGGGATTATTGTGGGATTATTCTAAGCAGCCAAATTACAAGCAGTCCCACAACAATATTATGTTATTTTATCGAATCCCAACACTGAATTTTGTCATTTAACAAAATCGTGAGTAGAAGGATTCCTACACTATCTCAATACTTTTCTTAGTTTCTAAAAGGCATCTTTCGGTGTTCCTATGCTTCTTCAGATTTCTGAACCACATTTTCCATAGCCTTTTACTACACTACCCAGATAGTTAAATTTACAAACCTACTTGATTTTGATGTCCCTGGTATGTAAATAATATAAACGTGATGATAAAAAAAATACATAAATTGCATAGGGCAACAAAAAACAAGAAGTTGTGGAGAGCCATGATTGCCCACATCCTGAAAAGATAGGGTACATAAAAGCAGATTAATATTAAAACACTAATCTGATGGCTTTCTTTATCATCTCACCAAAGAACAAATAAAATAATTTTTGCAGGACAACTATATCTGTGTGGGAAGGATGCTAGAATAGTTTAGAACTTTTAATGTGGGTAAACTGCTTACACATGGATAGAAAATGAATTGAGTAGGTACACAAAAATAGAAAGGGGTCATAAGACAAGGATGTGTCTT